GCTTTCTGCATTGCCAACGCCATCACGGATATTCCGGTAGTTATGGTGCAGGTTTCATGCTTCTCGCTGATTCTCTACTTTATGTCCGCGCTGCGGATGGATGCTGGTCGGTTCTTCACGTTTTGGGTTATTGTGATTATGCAGACATTGAGTTTCATTCAACTCTTTCGTGCTATTGGTGCTGTGTGCAACAAATTCGGAAATGCGTCCAAGATCTCTGGGTTGCTGTCGACCGTCTTCTTTGTTTATGGAGGTATATACCCTCATTGGCAAACTATTTTTCCAATATGCTCATCATTTTTCCAGGTTACTTGATCCCCTTCGAGAAAATGCACGTCTGGTTCCGATGGATCTTCTACCTGAACCCCGGATCATACGCCTTCGAGGCACTAATGGCAAACGAGTTCGTCGGGCTGCAACTCCAGTGTATCGAGCCGGACTATATCCCTTACGGCAATGGATATTCCGACTCAAAGTACCGGGGATGTTCTGTCCTCGGAAGCAACGAAGAAGGCATGATCGACGGAGCTGCCTATATCCGTCAACAGTATAGCTATTCCGTGCACCATATCTGGAGAAGCTTCGGAATCTTGGTCGGTTTCTGGGCATTCTTCATCTTCGTCACAGCGCTGGGATTCGAGATGCGCGACAAGCAGGGTGGCTCTTCGGTGCTCTTGTACAAGCGTGGCAGTCAGAAGCGGGGATCTGGAGGGCAGCAAGAACGGCCGAAAGTATCCGCGGATGTCCTTCAACAGACGGGGAAGCATTCGACATTCACTTGGAATAACCTCGACTACTATGTTCCTTTTCAAGGCGAGAAGAAGCAACTATTGCACAAGGTCTTCGGCTATGTTAAACCTGGAAACTTGGTGGCTCTTATGGGAAGTTCCGGCGCCGGAAAGACAACGTGAGTGCAAACTTGGCCTGAAAATTTTGACAGGAAGCTAACGAATTCAGTTTGCTGGATGTGCTCGCCCAAAGGAAGGACAGTGGAGAGATTTATGGTTCGGTCCTGATTGACGGAAGACCCCAAGGTATCAGTTTCCAGAGGACCACCGGCTACTGCGAGCAAATGGATGTTCACGAAGGAACGTCGACGGTCAAGGAAGCACTCATCTTTTCTGCTCTGCTACGGCAGCCCTCGACGGTGCCACACGAGGAGAAGATTGCTTACGTGGAGCACATAATCGAGCTTCTGGAACTTCACGACATCAGTGATGCTCTCATCGGAGGTGAGTATTGTCGTCATTGGGGTATAACGTCCTAGGCGTAGATGCTAACGATCGAAGTTCCTGGTGCGGGTTTGAGTATCGAGCAGCGCAAACGAGTCACTCTGGGAGTCGAGTTGGTCGCCAAACCGACTCTCCTCTTCTTGGACGAACCGACTTCCGGTCTTGATGGCCAATCGGCATACAACATTATCCGGTTCCTTAGGAAATTAGTTGATGGAGGACAGGCCGTGTTGGTGAGTGGCAATCTTCCATAGCATAGTAGCGTCGGTACTGACACCTTTCAGTGTACTATTCACCAACCTTCTGCAGTTCTGTTCGATGCATTTGACTCTTTGCTTTTACTAGCAAAGGGCGGAAAGATGGCATATTTCGGCGAGAGTAAGTATTATACCACAGAGTCCATATCATGACAAGTTCTAACAGCAGCAGCCGGAAAGGACTCAGATAAAGTGCTTGACTATTTCGCCAAAAACGGAGCTCCCTGTCCTCCAGGTGCCAATCCCGCGGAGCACATCGTCGACGTTATTCAAGGAAAGGCGAATGCAAAGGTCGACTGGGTAGAAACATGGAGCCAGTCGGACGAGCGTCGAAATGCGATGACTGCATTGGAGTCCCTGAATGACGCTGGCAAAGCCGATCCAAATTACGAGGAAGATCAGACAGATTTTGCGACTTCGAAATGGTTCCAGTTCCAGATGGTTTGGCAACGATTGATGACCCAACTTTGGCGATCTCCGGTAAGTCACATTTCCTTGGCGAGCGCAGATGAATGAACTGACTAGTCGAAGGACTACATGTGGAACAAGATGATCCTCCACGTCTTTGCCGGTTTGTTCAGCGGTTTCACTTTCTGGAAGATCGGAGATGGTACATTCTCGCTGCAGCTCCGGCTGTTCGCCATCTTCAACTTCATCTTCGTCGCGCCAGGATGTATCAACCAGATGCAGCCGTTCTTCTTGCATAACCGGGACATCTTCGAAACGCGGGAGAAGAAGGTACGTGCTATCACCTGTGTCGAACAACACAGTGCTAACATGCAGCAGTCAAAATCGTATCACTGGATTGCGTTCATCGGCGCTCAGGCTGTCTCTGAAATCCCGTACCTGATCATATGCGCCACTTTATACTTCGCCTGTTGGTACTTTACCGCGGGCTTTCCAGTCGCCTCCAGCATCTCGGGGCACGTATATCTGCAGATGATCTGTAAGTATTCTGTCATACCATGCCAAGCAGTAACTGACAATTGCAGTCTATGAGTTCCTGTATACCTCGATCGGTCAGGCCATCGCCGCGTATGCGCCCAACGAATACTTCGCAGCGATCATGAACCCAGTCCTCATCGGTGCCGGCATGATCAGTTTCTGCGGTGTGGTGGTCCCGTACTCGCAGATGCAGCCCTTCTGGCGATACTGGATGTACTACCTGGACCCCTTCACATACCTGGTCGGTGGGCTGTTGGGCGAAGTTCTCTGGGACGTCAAGGTGCACTGCGAACCGTCGGAATGGGTGAACTTCGACGCTCCTCCGGGACAGACGTGCGGCGATTATATGGCCGACTTCCTCTCTGAACAGGCCGGGTACCTTCTGGATTCCAATGCCACCTCGACGTGCTCGTTCTGCCAGTATTCCACTGGCGCGGATTATGCCAAGACGTTCAATTTGAAGGAGAAGTACTATTCATGGAGAGATGTAAGTCCTTTCTTCTGCGAATTATACCGTTCTTTCACTGACTCGAATCAGACCGGAATCACTGCCCTGTTCTGCATCAGTTCGTATGCCTTGGTGTTTTTTATGATGAAGCTCCGAAGCAAGAAGACGAAGAGTGCCCGATCGGAGTAATAGAACGGGGAACGGAGTGCGCATTTATTAAGGCGCCAATAATCAACCAAATAGACTGATAGACTGTCCATAACATCCTTAGAATAAATAATAGAGCTTTGCATTAATCGACTTTTCGGACAATTATCTTTATCGTGTCTCCGCGATCACCGACCATGGGTCTTTCGGGGCAATCAGAACACAATGCGATGCATTTCGATTGAGATATTTTTGTTGACAGGTCACAGACAGATGTTTGAGCGGTGTTTTGGCCTATTTCGTCCAGAGAAGGGACGTGAGCAGTATGCTCCTCATGAGACTGCCCGCATGTGACTTGGATAGTATCATGCAGAGCCCCCACGCTGCACTATACAGACCCCAGGGGTACTTGTACAAATGCATGTCGCAGACAGATTGGAGTCCTCAAGGTAGCCGCAAAAGTACCGGTCCTCCATGTGCACCAAACACTGGCTCTGAAGGTCTCCGAGATCGCATCGTATCTACCGAACCATTCAGATGATCTTCATCCCGCTCCACCGATTCAGCAGCATGTCCGAGCCTAACCCAGTCAATCACCGTTATATATAGTGTGCCATAATTTCCGTCTCCTGAGATGTTTAGCAGCAGCAGTTTCGTCACTATCACAACGTAGGGTGCATTGTACAGGGTACTTGTACAATATGCAACTTCCCCTCCTGGCCCTATTTCCGCTGGCGGTCAGCGCCGTCAACATCGTCTCCTCCAACGACGACGGCTGGGCCGAGGCTAATGTCCGTGCGCTATACGATTCGTTAACGGCCGATGGACATTCGGTCCTTCTTTCTGCGCCGGCAGATAACCAAAGTGGCAAAGGTATCTACACCATCCAACCAAAGTCGCAGGAAATACCATGTGCCTAATAAAGCAATATAGGATCGATGGACGATGCCCCATCGAATCGTGACGATGCCTGCGAGTACGACAGCTGCCCGGCCAACAGCGGCCCATACGGACACAATGCGACCGATTCGCATCAGAACTGGGTAAACTCCTACCCGCTGACCTCGATGCGCTACGGAATCAACAACTTTTCTCCGATCATCTTCAACGGAGCCCCCGATCTGGCCGTCTCCGGGCCCAACGTCGGCTCGAACCTGGGTGTTACCGTATTCTTCTCCGGCACTGTTGGTGCCGCGAGCTACGCCGCGCATAATGCTGGTATCCCAGCGCTGGCATTCTCGGGCAAGAGCGGCGATCCCACCGCTTGGAACGCCAGCAGTTCCTATCCGCTGACTAGCCAAGTCTATGCGCAGCTGGCGACAAAAGTGACGGATAGGGTTCTGAAAGCGGGCACTCCCTACCTCCCCGAGGATGTGTGGTTGAACGTCAACTTCCCCGAAGTCAGTAAGTCGAAGTGCTCCAGTGCGGAGGATTTCAAGTTTGTACTCTCGCGGATCTTCGATCATGTGCCGCTGGTGTCGGACGACGATATCGAAATCTGTGGAGATGACCATTTGCCCAGTGAGACCGGCGTCGTCAACACGGACGGATGCTATGCGAGTATCTCGGTGGGCAATGCGGAGAGTAAGCGGGATGCTAATGCGACGATGCAGGGAGTGGTTCATGGTAAGCTGGGGGATTTGTTGACTTGTCTGCCTTGATGTATAGCAGCCGTACACCCTGTAAATAGCTCAAGTCTTCACGTATATATCCGCACTATCAGATAGAACTTGCAGGATGTGCAACACAATTCAAGAAAAGCTCCAGTCACTCGAGTTGACTGCTCGGATCAATCGCATCCATGGCGCAGACCGAAACGGAAGCTTTATCCGGTGGCTCCCCGCTTTTAGAAGAAAAACATCAAAAATGGCAAACCCCGAGAATTTTCCCCTGACAGAAAGGCCAAACTAATCCGTACTCCGTACCCGTACCCTCTTCAATATAGAATCCATAAATCGAGAACATTTAACCATGTCAGTTTCGGATACAGCCGCCGATATTAACGCCCTGGCGATATTCCTGGCCGCCCAACAACTCAACGACCTGGCAGCATGCGCATCGGTTGATTGCATTATCATCTGTGCTTCGGCGGTCCTCCATAGTGCAGAAGTCCTTTTCCAAACCCTGCAAGAACGTCCGACACTTACACGAAAGCTGGTCCTCTGCGGGGGTATCGGTCACTCCACTCAATTTCTTTACGAGGCTGTGGCCGACCATCCCCAATTCCATACACTGGCAAAGGCCATCACAGGTCTGCCAGAAGCGCAGGTATTAGGGAGAATATTTGACGAGTTCTTTGATGGAGCTGCGATAAGGGCCGCCGGTTGCCAGATTCTCGTGGAAGATGAATCGACAAACTGCGGTAGCAATGCGATCAAGAGTCGTGAAGTTCTGGGGCGATTTGCTTGTGACCCCAAGAATATCATTTTGATTCAGGATCCGACAATGATGCTCCGGACAAAGGCATCCTTCGAACAGGCCTATAAACACATGGAGAGCTGCCCGCGTTTCATTGGCTGTCCTGTGTTTGTCCCACAAGTACGGCCATCTGCACAAGGACTACTAGTGTATGCAGTTGGTTCACCTCCGAGATTATGGGACATGCAACGGTTTATTGATCTTATCCTCGGTGAAATTCCCCGAGTGAGAGATGATGAAAACGGGTACGGGCCCAATGGGTGCGGTTTTATCGGCCACGTCCATGTACCTGCTGAGATCGAGGATGCATGGAGGAGACTGCAATCAATATCCAAGGGCACGAGATCCTGGCATCTGTTATAGATTCCTTCCGTTTAGATTCTTCAACGAAGCCATGAGGCCGAACCATGGCGGACGATAGGGGCTTATGACGAATAAGCTCCACTCACCGACATGACATGCTACCATAAATATCCCGCTAGAAGAAAACAGTAGACGATCATTACTCTCTTTGCCAATATCTCCATCGACCAGGCATCAATCGTCGTTCATATCTAGCCGAACTTGTACGGAGTAGGTTCGGCAAAACTCCGGTGATCGTCAGGAACCACCCCGTCCGAACTCGGTGTATATAAACCTCCTGATAACGACTGCAAAGCTTGACGGTTCCTCAAACTCAATCGAAACAACACACAACGGTCAAAAATGTTGGCATTGTTTGCTCTCCTCCCCCTCCTTGCTCAGGCATCGCCTGTGCTTCCCCGCGCGGTTATCGACCATGGCCAGGTTGAGGGCTTCCCCGAGACCGTCCCCAGCGGTACCACTGGCGAGGTCTACAAGGCCTATCAGCCTTATCTTAAGGTGAACAGTGGCTGTGTTCCATTCCCTGCTGTCGACGCTGAGGGAAACACCAGGTAAGCATTTTCTATTCGACACTCCTATGCGCGAAAGAGTTTACTTACTGATAGCACAAAGTGGGGGCCTAGACACCACCGGCTCCCAGAGTGGTGACTGCGACAGCAGCACCGGTCAGATCTATGTTCGCGGCGGCACTTCCAACACAACCAACGCAGATGCCTACGCCCTGATGTACTCCTGGTACTTCCCCAAGGACAACCCCTCGCAAGACCTGGGCCACCGCCACGACTGGGAGGGTGTTATCGTCTGGATCTCCGACCCGACCTCGACTTCTGCCGATAACATCCTCGCTGTGTGCCCGTCTGCTCATGGCGGGTGGGACTGCTCGACCGATGGGTACACGCTCAACGAGTCCACCTCCGAGCCACTGATCAAGTATTACAACGTCTGGCCTGTGAACCACCAGTGTGGATTGACGGATGTTGTGGGAGGTCAGCAGCCGTTGGTTGCGTGGGAGTCATTGCCCACTGTGTCGAGGGCTTCCTTGGAAAATACGGATTTCGGATCAGCCAATGTGCCGTTCAAGAACGCGAACTTTGAGACCAACTTGGAGAGTGCGACTTATTAAACATCTCTATTTCGTCCCGGGAAAATGTATATAGTTAGTGGATATCCTTAATTACCATTCTTGAGTGTGGCTGGTCACGCGAAAATACCTTTTTTTACTGCCATGCCATTCCAAAGACGATTGATCCGCCAGATATGTGAGACGAGATCTTCAAATCTCCCACGCCACCGTAAGGAATGAGTTCCTTCGGTCCACGTAGTAACTAGCAAATGGCCAATGGTCGTGCATGCCGGCTGTTTCGACCGCAGCGTCGCAGTGATCCATTGAACAAGCCTCGAGACGTAGAGTCAGCCCTATTGCAATAACTCCTTCTGATGCTTGAACGTCTCTTGTCGATGCATGTGCACTAAATAGGTGCACTTGACAATTTCTGCTCTGAGATAGCATGAGAAAGAAGAGTTGTTGGAAAGGATGAAACGAGGTGGGAAGGTCAAGAGGGACGAAGAGAAGGACTGACTCGTGAATGTGGTGTCACATGACCAACATGTGACGCTTCCCAACATCCACTTGTATTGCTTCTAACTGCCTGAATCAGTACTAGTAACTGTCACACAGCAATTAATCCATGTCCATGTTGCTTTATCGAACTGGTTCTGGGACATGATACTCTGATCTGATGCTCTCTGATAGTAGAGCTTCCTCCATTCGAGGGCGTGCTACAACGAGCCAACTATTTCAACCAGGTTGGTTCCATCATACGAAGACACAGCGTTTTGAGCTTTACCTAGTAAACTTTGCTTGCGGGCTCCCGGATTCCTTACTAAGGATAATCTATTGTTACACCGTTTAGACCAGAGACTGTTAATACATGTAAAACAAGCAGGTTGGGCTGGGAATATATGATTTGGCAACAAATTCGACCGTGAAAACGATTACACCATTCCCGATATCCGACGATATGGCTCGGAGCAGGACATGGCCCGATTATGAATTCGGGCGCTTATACCGGAGATAGTAGTATGCACTACTGGCTCACGTTTTCCGGCTGCAAGCATGAACGTGACCGTTCCTTGCATCCTAGGATTTATGGGGCTCATCCTGTCTATCTGACACTTTTGTGGATTCCACTTTTATATCTGAGGACAGGCATTCAGCACTTCATCGGCCGGATGAGTCTTCTCCACCCACAACGGTTCCGCTTTGCCCCGGATATGCTCATGTTTGTTCGCTTTAAGGTGCACGATTGAAGCTTGGCAATGAACAAATGTTTCTTTTCGTCTACTGGGATCTATGGCTTGGAAACTTATGGTTTGAGGTGTCACAATGTCACCTGTCGCGGTGTGCCCTATTGGTCTACCCCTAATCGGAAACCCGCACTACCACCGACACACTTTCGCCTTCCTACAGGCTACTCGCCTCAATATTAACCAATGCCTCCTAGGTCAATTTATAATCAATGAAAACAATTGGATCCTCTTTGTTTCTATATCGGGGTTGTATGCCCTGACAGCACCCTGGTGGGTCTCAATCTATATCCTAAACGGCGAACGGCTTCATCTTTTCCCTTTTCGATCAATCTGCTACACACACCTCGGGTTTACCATCCAACCACGAATCTTGACTTGCTGATTGCCTTTCTTTACCTTTCTGTGTCTCATCGATATTGTCGTCGGGCGCTTCTCGACATGAACAGCAGGGACCACCACCAAGGCTGAGATCCCGTCCATCAATCAATCTGCGGAAGACATACTATCGGAAGTAAATGACAGGAGAACGAAAGGCTTTCTATTAGAATATAAAAACTCTCTTGTCCCCTGGTGTTGAGTTCATTCGCATATCAACTTCCCTTCTTTTATTACTTTCGTTGGTTCTTTGCTTCGTTGACTGAAGCTCTTTTCTTCACATTCTTTGCGCTGGATCGCCCATTTTACTTTATTTCGCACTTCTATTCAACCACCATTCTTTGAAATCATGTATCGTCTTCAGTCGGCATCCTTCCTGGCCGCGATGCTGTCAGCCACCCAGGTCGCAGCCCACGGTCATGTCACCAACGTCGTCGTTAACGGTGTCTACTACGAAGGCTTTGACATCAACTCCTTCCCGTACATGTCAGACCCTCCCGCTGTCGCCGCATGGGGCACCCCCAACACCGGCAATGGCTTCATCACCCCCGAGGACTACACTTCGCCCGACATCATTTGCCACCAGAACGCTACAAACGCCAAGGGCCACATAAGTGTGAAGGCAGGTGACCGTGTCAATATCCAGTGGACCGAGTGGCCCGAATCGCACCACGGACCTGTTATGGACTACTTGGCCGACTGTGGTGATAGCTGCGAGTCGGTTGACAAGACCACGCTCAAGTTCTTCAAGATCGACGGCGTTGGTCTGGTCGACGACTCAGATGTTCCTGGTACCTGGGGTGACGACCAGTTGATCAAGAACAACAACAGTTGGATGGTCGAGATCCCTGAGTCCATCGCTCCCGGAAACTATGTCCTCCGTCACGAGTTGATGGCTCTCCACGGTGCCGAGATGGAGGATGGTGCCCAGAACTACCCTCAGTGCTTTAACCTCGAGGTCTCTGGCTCTGGCACCGCAAAGCCCGACGGTACCCTGGGTACCGCGTTGTACAAGCCCACTGAGGCTGGTGTCAGTGTCAACATCTACTCGTCGCTCTCGACCTACCAGCTCCCCGGTCCTACCATCTGGTCGGGCGCCACCTCCATCTCGCAGGCCACCTCCGCCGTCACTTCCACCGGCTCTGCCACCGTCGGCTCTGGCTCTGCTGCTGCTTCTGGCTCTGGGTCCGGCTCCAGCTCGAGCGCAGCACCCACCGCCAAGAACAATGTCGCCCTGCCCACCACCATCCCTGTCCGCGTGCCTGTCTCCACTGCCCCTTCGAGCACTGAGGCTGCCGCTCCGTCCGCCCCCTCTACCTTCTTGACCGCGAGCTCGCCTGCTCCCTCTGCTCCCCCGTCTGCTGCTTCGTCCGCTCCTTCTGCTAGCAGCGCTGGCGGTGCGCAGTCTGCCTACGGCCAGTGCGGTGGTGTTAACTGGACTGGACCTAAGTCCTGTGCCAACGGAGCTTCCTGTAGCTCTATGAACCCTTACTACTCGCAGTGCACTCCTGCTGCTTAAATGCAGTTACGGGTGTGACCAGAAGTGAGGCCAGTGTATAGTAGCAACAATAACTTACAATGAAATCAATGTATACAATCTTATCTTGCCCATATATAGCTTTATACGAAAAGCTGCGCAATAATCAAGAATATAATACATAACAGCACCCAACTGAAACGACGAAGTCTCTAGTCTGATCCATGTATAACCCAACCTTCTCCATCATCCAATCGCTCCAAAGCACGTAATACCTCCTTATCCCAATCGCTCAAGCAAACAATAGCCCACTCAGCCAACGCCGTCGTGTATAGCGCAGCACATTGCCCGATCCACAAACCAACCAACCCAAATCTATGTCTCGACAGCCAGATACCAAACGGCAGAGCACTACAGTAATAACTAATGATGTTAATTGCAGCGCCCACATGCTGCTTCCCTGTTGCTCTGAGAAACCCACTGCAACTTCCATGAAGCCCATCAGCGACCTGGAAAAGAGCAACGTAGGGTATAACCTGCGCCATCAAGCCCACCACACCTGGATTATTACTGAATATCCTGGCGAAATAGTCATTCACAGCCAACAAAATCATCATGGCAGCGCATCCTAATACAACGCTCGGCCATATTGCTGCTTGTGCCGTCCTCGCTACTCCACGGGTATCTCGGGCGCCTAGCAAATTCCCCAGACGAGTGAAAGCAGCCACGCCAATACCAAACGGAATAGTATTTAACACTTGGTCGACAGACATGATGATACTTTGCGAAGCAAGTGGAATCGTCCCAGCCAGCCGGCGGCAATTGCAACGACTTCAAAGGCCCACCATTCCGCTCCTACGTGGATGATTCCAAGGATAGCGAGGCGGGTGAACAGGCCGAGGTTCTAAAATGTTTGTCTAGATCAGCCTCCCCAGCATTGGTGGCCATCTATGAAGACGGTGTATAGAACCATTGATAGGGAACAGAGCCAGTAAGATAGACTTGTTGCTAGCGGAGCACCCCATAGACCGAGTTGAAGGGTTATGCAGAATAGGTAGTTTAATCCAGCATTTAGAGGCGATATGATTAGGAGGATGTAGGTGCCAGGTCGCATGATGCCTACATACTATGTCAGCCATGCATTTCGCAGAGAAGCGAGTACTTTAACGTACCCTGAGCCCGAAGATACTTCATAACTTCGAAGTATACATATCCAAGCCCTCCTGGGATGAATAGAGTCAGAAAGCTGGCAGTATCCCTGGAAAACGCAGGCTCTTGCCCAAGCAACTTAAACACAGGCTCGGAATTAACTTATAACAGACACACAGGCAGATAAAGTAGTCTGAGCACGAAAAAAGCTCTCTGCAGCAGGACTCCCAAGTCGTGCCGGTTCGACCTCCCGGTGAAAGTAGAGGAAGCGAGAGTATCCAACACGGTTTCTCCACCCAACCCAACTAGCTACCTGGTACATGTGGCATACATGTATGCAAAAGCTGCAGTTACAAGGTTCTCAGGTGACAAATGGCCAACGATCGCTAGTGATATGGTCTGGAGGCTTTTCGCAGGCAATATGCAGGCAATATGCAGGCAATATGCAACAATCACTGGGATCGCATCTTTCGCGAGCAGATACATGTCGGTAGCAATTCCGCTGGCTTTCTTGAACTTTGGTTGACATTATCATGATGACAGTCCGCGTTGTTGGGTCTGCTAAGCAAATTCGTTTGTTCGTTCGCGACAGGTGGTGTAGAGGTCGGCGCAGTCCTGGTTGCAGAACGTGTGCTTAACATTATATTGAGGATTCAGTGAAAATTGAATATTGAAAGTAGGATACATCACTGAAGCACAGCATTTGTATTAATTTACTATGCACATATTTATATACCGGCGCTGGGCTTGCCTATTTCGGCTGTATTGCCGCATCCCCTCTTCACCTTGACTTGCACAACCATACCGCTATCCACCAATCCTTAACGATCCCTGTGGAACAATGCAGAATGAACGCAAAACGAGGAATCGAACTCCCCGTGGGAATTGTAAGACATCGAAACGCAAGGTAATCTCCTTTCTCTCTCTGTGTGTGTTCATCATTGACGGCAAACTAGTGTGACCGTACCGGATCTCGTTGCTCGCGTTGCAGGAGACTGAACCTTGAATGTGTTCCGTCAACAACGGCAGAATGGCGCGTCAATAGTATCAGAAGTACCAGCCAACACGCCCCAAGCCCTACCTATGGAATAGCTTTGTTGAACGCATAGCTCCCGGGATAACTCTTGATGTTTCGCAGACCAGCAAGCTTATTTCGGGACTTCAGGCTGAGAACCACCCCCCTGTTTTCCGGAATTGTGTTCTTTTCCCAATCAGTACAGTCAAACTGGACACTGGAAAATCACTCTTCACCTGCAGATTCTGCGGGCATGGTCACTGCGGCGCGGAAGACAGAAAAGGAAGTGATATCACACATGAGCCAGTTCGTCGGCAGTGAAAACAGTAATGTACCCCAAGAGAAACCACAGATCTTAGGCCTCCTATCTACATTGGTGGTACTTTGCTCCGCTTACATTGCGGGTGAGGACTTTACCAGTCTAACGCTCTATCTCGAATGTGCATTGAGCACGATACGCAAAGGATTTTCTACAGAACTGGCACTGGACGATACTTTTCTCTTCCTTGTTCGTTGGATGGGATACATCCATACAGTTGCAATGTTGGATGAAACGGTCTATACGCTAAATGCGCCGGATTATCTGAGTATCGCATCAGAGCAAAGTTTTAATTCCGCGGGCAAAAACATGTTCTTCCAGGACGTGGATTCCTTTATTGGGATGTCACAAACTGTCATAGATCTCCTTTATCGACTAGGAAAGATTCTCCGTTCGCGTGTTGATGATGGATGTACCTGCTCATCAGAGCTAAATGCAGAGAAGATGGGCCTTCAGACTCGAGTGCGCTTACTTCTTCGGCGACTGGACAAATTCAAATAGGACACAGACTTAACTGATGACCTTGATCATTACAATGAGTCGTTGGTACACACCTGTTTGCTTATCTTTCTCATACGTGTCAATGGTGAAAGTGCGCAATCCGAAATGGTTCGGTCCGCTGTTGGTCATGTCCTAGAATCTTGTGCTGCGGTTCAGGAGAAGGCCTCTGTAGCCAAGCTGATGCTGTTCCCATTATTTACGGCGGGAAGCTATACCACAAGTTGGGTTCATCGAGCATTCATCCGCAGGCGTCTCGAGGTGTTGCAGAGCGGATATTGCATTGTAAATGTGAAGCGCACTTTGGAACTTCTCGAGGAGCGCTGGCAGAAACCAAGTGAAGCTTCATACCTCAACCAAGCTTCTGTCTACCATTTGTTCTAAACACGCCACTACTTCACACGGCTTACTGGTACACGGATCATCCACTGGAGGATCTCATACACGACCTGGCCCACTGCGATGACTGTCCTCTCGGCTGCATCATCATATACTGGGGAAAATTCAACCACATCTGCTCCGATGATCTTCACACCAGCCCTCGATAACCCATTCAGTATTTGCAGTAACTCGCGGGTTGTCCAACCACCGGGCTCGATAGTACCTGTTGCTGGTGTAAAGGCTGTGTCAATTAGCGCTATTCGGTTCCAAACCTCGAGGAGCCATTGCCGCATACCTGGGTCTAAAACATCGATATCAACACTCAGGTACACGAATTGATCGCCGACTGTCTCCACGATTCTCCCAACGACGGCGTTTAAGCCAATCACATCAAGTTCCCTTGCTCGAATATATGAAAAACCGCATCGAGCATCGTTGTCCAGGTCGTAATCTTTGTCAAAGAGCATGGAACGAGAGCCTAAATGCATGTTGCTGTTCTCTGACAGGAGGCCTTCCTCGTGGGCAAGATGCAACAAACTGCCGTGGGTCACCTCGGCATACTTGGAAAGACCACCTCCTAACTGTTTTGGATTCCAGCTATGAAGGTGCGAATCGAAATGTAGCACGGCGACTTTACCCCATGTCGGATGCAGGGCTCTCAGAGCGGGAAGGGCTGTTCATATTGTGAGCGTTGGTGTGTCATGCTCTGGTGAATAACTTACTGATTGTATGATCACCGCCAATTGAAATCAATCGTACATGATCTCCCTTGTCTCTATTCTTGGGCTGGCGAGCAGTAATCTACTTCCACCCTTGCTCAAGTTCGTGTATCGCTTGCAAATTGTCGAAAGGGGTGTTCCGAATATCTCCACAGTCGACGACTTCGGCCCAATCTCGAAATGGGTTTACGCCGTGATCCATGCTAGACCTTTTGTAAGCACACGTATTCTCACTTAATCCTCCAAAGATAAAGACATACCTATACCCCATACTAGGCGCCAACCGACGCACTCCCATGCAGGCTCCTGAAGGCCCAAATCGAGCGCCAGGCCTATACGTGGCACCAAGGTCAAACGGGGCCCCTACGATACCGACGTCAAACGTCTTGTCATTGTCCGGAGAAAAACAATTCGTCCAATTCAAATGAGCGAACGTAGCAATGCCTTCGTAAGGTGTATCCTCATTAAAGTCATCCTTGATCGTGAACTCATCATGCGAGTTAACGACCACGCCCTGACGCTGTCCGAATATGCTTTTCTGGATGAACGTTCGAGGCTGGGACAAGGGAGCTTGTCCTGTTTGATATGGTGTCGTAGAAACGCGGGATACGGTTAACTAGTTAACTTAGGTAACCGTGGTAGGGCGGTGACAACTGGGCTCGAACGTCGATGACGATCACACTATGATTAGCAGGTGATGTTGCGATTCACGAAGGAAGTAACAGCTCTTCCTAGCATCTATCACATAGTACTCTTCTATTCCAGATGCAAGCTCAAACCTGGCGTTCTCAAGGGCATCTCTGGCAGTATAAAGTGTAGTGGTTGATAAATTCAATATACTCAAGGCCATCTGTCTGGACCGTCGCTCGAAAAAAAGGTTCTTACTTGTGCTGATACTACAATAGTACCAAGTCTCAAGCATCAGATTTGAAGGTTTATCATTTCCGTAAGCATAGAATAGCACAAGCCGCTTACATATAATCCTTTGCTGCACATGCCGAAGCCATGTGGCTTTACTGCTGTGCTCATGCCGAAGTACACATTTCCTGTTCCGGTATACCCCGCAATAACCAGGGATCCTGATCCTTTCAACCACCCAGAAATGCCGAAATACGAGACGATCTTGGTATAGATGTCACATAACTCAATTACAGGTGCCAAGAATGCGGGGGCGACTATTCCGGAAGAGGATAACGTGACGGAAAGAACTAGACAACCCTCTTCGACTCTGGATTTGCCTTTTACGAGAGCCGCTGCAACCTCGTATTCTGTGATCAGAATGGAAAGGGAGATGGCTGGTTAAATGGAAGTTTTTGCCCGTGCCCAATACCCCAAGACCGCCAGTCCTTGGCAGCCCAGCATCTCATGCTCAGAATCCGAGCCCACGTCAAAGCACATTGGTCAGAGCCCTGGGCCAATAACTTAGTATGCTTGACACGGCATGATGACTAGTCACTGTTTCAGTGACACAGGTTTCCCAGCACAGCCAACCAATGAACCTTCATCTTGATTTTAACCGGAAAAGGTTTCTTGGACGACCACTAACACCTCGCCTCTTATTCCGGCGCCCCGTGCGCGCTTTAATCTGAGCAGTCCAATATGGGACATCCCGCTTGGGCTCTAGTGGCCTGGTCAGGAAAGCCGGGGTGCATCTGGGGAATCGGCAAAGTCTGGGGAATCGGGGGGGGGGGGGGGGGGGGGGCGCCGATATGTGTCATGCACACAACCATAACCATGTGTGCGGGATGTGCCCAGACGTACTGGGTGTCGAGGGTAATAAAAGCGTTGATTTGCCGCATTTCTGCGAGTTAATTTTTTCCACTTGCTCTTATTTTCCTGTCGCTGCCTGTATATTTCAGTTTGGTATATACCGTTGAAGATCTGCATTCGGGGGCATACTCTGTCCGGGTTTAATCAGCATGCGTGATAAAGAGACTGACCCTGAGGTGCCTGTGGCTTCTCACCACATTGAGTACACAGTCACTATGGAGAAAGAGAAAATCGCCTCGGATGCCGGAATTGCTCGGACTTGGTCACGCGATATCATCAAAAGCGACGAGAAGACCAAGCAGAAGAACCCTCTCGCCGGACTTACAAAGGAGGAGCTCATGGAAGACGTCGAGGCATTTGCTCGGGAGAAAGATCTTGAACATATTGTGGACGACTTGAAGAAGGGTGCCTTGGTGGCTCAGGACCCTAAGGCCTTTGAAAGCCTCGACGAGCTGAGTGAAGAGGAGAAAGAATTTTTACGACGGGAAACAACACATAAATGGCACCAGCCATTTATGATGTACTTTATGACCAGTATGTTTCAACTTCGCAGCATAGCGTTGCCTGTCTCTGACCCGGTTCAATCTAGTTCTCTGTGCCGGTTCGGCCATCGTGCAGGGTATGGACCAGACTGCAGTTAATGGTGCTCAAGAGTCTGTCCATCTCATATATCTCGCCCGATCTTGGGCATATCATGGCTAACTATACCAGGTTCTACTTCACCGAGTTCGGAGTTAGGGATAAATGGCTACAAGGTCTCCTCAACGGTGCTCCATACCTCTGCTCGTGTCTGATCGGTTGCTGGACGACGGCACCACTCAACCGCTGGTTTGGTCGTCGCGGGTGTATCTTCATCTCGTGTTTCATCTCTTTCGCCTCGTCCTTCTGGATGGCTGCGGCCAAATCTTGGGTCTCGCTCTTGTTTGCTCGGTTTCTCCTCGGATTAGCTGTAGGAGCGAAAAGCTCAACAACTCCAGTGTGGGCACGCCGCTAACCATGCCGTTATTGACCTCGTACTGATTGGAAGTAGGTATGGTGCTGAGTGCGCGCCAGCGAACATCCGCGGAGCGTTGGTGATGATGTGGCAGATGTGGACAGCATTCGGAATCATGATGGGATACATCGCGTCGGTTATATTTATGGACGTGTCAAATCCGAGTCTTCCAGGGCTGAATTGGAGGTTGATGCTGGGTTCTACAGCTATCCCGTAAGTTTCCATTTTTATGACTTGTCACATGACTTATGGTGCAGTTGCTGACATCTCTGTGAGTCCAATGTTCGTTTGTGCACAAGTCTACTTTTGTCCTGAATCTCCGAGATGGTATATGATCAGAGGCCGCTACCTGAGAGCGTATGAGGCTTTATCTAAGTTTCGCCCTTCGCCCCTTCAGGCCGCCAGAGATATTTATTATATTCACTCGGCTCTTCAGGTTGAGGAGAAACTTCGCGAGGGGAAGCAGTTGTGGAGAGAGATGTTCACCGTTCCCCGAAACCGACGAGCGGCTCAGTCCTCTTTCTTTGTTATGTTCATGCAGCAGGTATTTCCCCCTCAGCGATAACACCAGAAGAGCACTAACATTTATAGTTCTGCGGCGTCAATGCAATCATGTACTACTCCTCGTCCATGTTTCGCGACGCCGGTCTCAGTCTACGCCTTGCTCTTATAGTGTCTCTGGGTTGTGGCATTACGAATTGGATCTTTGCGCTTCCAGCCGTGTACACGATTGATACCTTTGGTCGAAGGAATCTGCTTTTGACTACGTTTCCTCTCATGAGCATTTTCCTTCTCTTTACTGGGTTCTCTTTCTGGATCCCTAACGACGATGCCCGTGTTGGCTGTGTTGCCACCGGAATTTATTTATTCATGATTGTCTACTCTCCTGGAGAAGGGCCGGTGCCGTTTACATACTCTGCGGAAGCTTTTGTAAGTCACAGCGCCCCATTGCTATACTCACACCAACTGACACACAAAGCCTCTCTATATTCGTGATATTGGTATGTCATTTGCCACTGCGACAACCTGGGGCTTCAACTTCATCGTATCCTTCACGTGGCCGGGGCTGAGAGATGCCTTTACACCACAAGGTGCATTCGGGTGGTATGCAGCCTGGAACTTCTTCGGCTGGATCTTCTGCTACTTCTGTTTGCCGGAGACTAAAGCACTTTCTCTGGAGGAACTGGATCAGGTCTTTTCCGTTCCGACAAGGAAGCATATCAACCATTACAGGGGGATGCTGCCGTGGTACTTTAAGAAACATATCCTGAGAGCTGATGTGCCGCCGAAGAAACAGCTCTACAATTACGAGTGATGCTGGGGGTTATTTAGATAGTTTCGAATCTTGTCATACTCTGTAAAGCGCCCTATGCGCACGTCATTTGCGTAATAATATGTTTCATTCATGCATTATTCTCATACAACCATTAAGTTGTAATTAAATATAGCCAAGGATTGGGCTGCTCAGTTATGGAGCGCCTCGATTCAATCAAGGCAGCTTCCTAAACGAGTTCCATCACTGCAAAATAAAAACATCATTCGTCAACATTCTCCAACTCGACAAAGCCCCGCACAAACGGGAAGGTCTTTGCTACCTCTTCCGCCTCATATTATTTTGCCTAGGGCCATCTTGACGACATCCTTGAAAATCTTCTTTCCTTCCGGCGTAAAATACATCCCAGTCGTATCCTCGTCACAAAGTGACAGTCCCCTTATTTCTTTCCCGGTTTTTGTTTTTCTCTTTTTTGTTGCTCTTGACAACGGATTGGACAAAGTACGTCATATAAGCAAGCCAACATGGTAGGGACGCTTGATGGAAGCAGTTTATCACACGCATGGCAGCCTGAAGCAAAAAGCCCAGGCTCAATAGGCTCCGGGGGCTCTTTTTGAAAGGTTTTATTGATATGACTTCTTTTGGTTGTTAATTGAGAGCGACGATCAAGAGGAGCTTGATCGGGCAGATGGTATTATGCACTGGGTCATTCAGAGCATCAATATGGACCTCGCAGGGCTCTATTGACTTATCTCTAGTGAGGTATGTGTCAGCTATCTGAGAACGCCACTCACTTAGAGCCTTTACTCATATCTGATTTTGAATGTAGCTTTGAAGGATTGAATGGCTAGTGGGCTGTTTGGTAGGATGTAGAGCTCTACATCACCGTATGTCATATACTCGGGGCCATGGTATAAGTCAGAGCGGCCAACATCGCCAACACGGGTTACCAGCGCGCTCTGTAAGCCACATGGTGCTTATCTTAAGAACCATACGGACAGAAAACCACTGGCGAGCGGCCCACCGCCCTTTGTGGAGCTTGCCCAGCTTGACAAGATGATCAAGATGGGTATTAATTTTGAGTATGTCAGTAGCAGTGTAGTGCCCGCGGAGATTTCTGTGGTGAAAGAGGAGAACACTTCCACATGGTTTGATGTGCCGAGTGAGCGTGTCAACGAAACGAATATATGCTCCCCGGTGGGGCAACCGTCGGGACTATCAGAGGACAACAATTGTCAGCATATTATGAAAGCATTGTACCCCTGGATCGGAACAGGGGCAGACTTACGTGAGGTCCTTGCACTGTGGCAGGAAACTCTCCCAAATTGCCTTCATCCTTAGGAGGGCGTAGCTTGCACCCGCTATGCCTCGAGCTATACTCAGGTTTTTTAGATTGTATTTTGAAAGGCGTCGGTCATTGACTCATCAGCATCTCGTCAATATTCTTCTCGCCGTAATTTGGGTCCTCCTTGAAAGCAGAACGATCTTTAATATCAGACTCGCTTGGGATTCCGAGCTGTTAAAGCTCGGGTCCATGTTGCAACAAAGCGGACTTATAATGCCGCAGCTAGCACCCTACAGTCAAACAATGAGCAAAAGCAAACTCACCCCTTTATGTGAATCTCGACAAGTCGAACTTGTGTGCCATGGATTGTCACCCGCCTGAGTGGTTGTAGAAGTTAGGAAGCTCTCAGAGTAAGGGCGGTGTTTAAATAGAGTGCTTTGCCCTTCACTGTTTGGGAGTGAATGGAAAGAAGACTGCTTGAATGTAGTATAGAGCGTAGTATAAAGTGTAGTATAACAAGTAGAATTCTGATTGGTCAATTGCGTTGAAACGGGACGATGGAAGCATCTCACCAATGAGAATGCACCATAGCCTGAAGTAGCCGAAAAAGGAAACCTCGGCTGATTATCTAAGACCCACTACGCAGAACCTGAAGAGGTTGGATTATATTGACTCACGCCGAGATCCAATCATTCAGTATTTCAATCATTGCATAGTTTGGTCTACCTGAACTTATCTCTGTACCAATAACTGCGTTCCATCACGTGTTCCGGTGGATGATTCTTTTCAACGGTTCTGCAGGCTGGCCCGGAGAATTCGGAACAAAAAACTTAACCGGCCATGACAGCGGACGTTGAGCCTCAAGACCGTGATATGGCGGTGAATTATGATGCTGAGAATATGGAGAAGCAGCAAGATGTCAAGACCAGTCCGCATTATCAAGATGCTTTTGGAGACGAGGAATTTGCGGAGGTCAAGTACAAGGTGTTGAACTGGTGGTAAGTACCGTAACGTCATCCCGGTATGCATGCATCAATTGCTGATTATATGCAGGCAATGTGGTTTTCGTGAGTGATTCTGGTGCATCGCGACTTTCATTTGAATCTAATTTTTGCAGTCATGGTGTCGGAAACCGTCTCGCTGGGAATTCTGTCCCTGCCGGCCGTCGTGGCCGAGCTGGGTCTGGCTCCGTAAGTTCTGTGTCCAGTGGGCTCAGTACATCCTGCTAATGCCTATTAGTGCAATTGTCCTCTTATTATTCCTAGGTCTCATGGCCACCTACACCGGCTATGTGATCGGGCAGTTCAAGTGGCGCTATCCGCACATCCATAGCATGGCAGATGCCGGAGAGGTCCTCCTGGGCGCTTTTGGTCGTGAGGTCTTCGGGACGGGCCAATTGCTTTTGATCATCTTCGTCTCTGCCAGTCACATCCTGACTTTCAGCGTGGCTATGAACACTATCACAGACCACGGTACCTGCACGATTGTGTTTGGTGTCGTTGGTCTCGTTCTCTCCTTTTTGCTCTGCTTGCCTCGGACACTTTTAAACATTTCCTGGCTTTCTCTCGTGTGTACGTGTTTATGGATTTCCTGTGCCAGTTGCACGAAACATGAAACCATACTAATATACCACAGCCTTTGTCAGCATCCTGACAGCCGTCATTATTGCGATGGTCGGTGTTGGTATTGAAAGACCAGGGAAAGGAAACATTCAGGCTGCGGTTGATACAAGCCTTTACAACGCGTTTTTGGCTGTTTGCAATATCGTCTTTTCATTCTGTAAGCTCCCCTCTAGTTCATGTTCGAATGCGCTATCTAACAAAGACAGCCGGCCATGTTGCCTTTTTCAGTTTCATGGCGGAATTGAAAGACCCTAAGGATTATCCTAAATCCCTGTGTCTCCTGCAAGGCATCGATCTCGTTCTCTACATGGTTGCCTCTGTGGTTATCTACTGCTATGCCGGTCAGGACGTGACATCTCCCGCATTGGGGTCAGCAAGTCCTATTGTCCGCAAGGTTGCCTATGGTATCGCTTTGCCTACTGTGAGTATCCCGACCCCGTACTGCAGACATATAACTAACACATATAGATTGTGATTGCTGGCGTCGTCAACGGCCACGTCGCCTGCAAGTATGTCTACGTCCGTCTCTTCCGCAACAGCGATCGCATGCACAAGCGCGACTGGGTCGCCACCGGCTCCTGGATTGCAATTGGAGCTGTGGTGTGGTTGCTTGCGTGGATTATTGCCGAGGCGATTCCGGTTTTCAATAATCTGCTGAGTTTGATCGCGTCGCTCTTCGCTAGTTGGTTTACCTGTGCGTGCCCTCGAACAATCACGACTGCGATGCTTCTAAGCTAATATACGATACAGACGGCTTCAGCGCGATCTTCTGGCTCCACATGAACAGAGGTCAGTACTTTGCAACTCCGACAAAGATACTCCTGACTTGTGTCAATATCTTTATTATCGGTGTTGCATGCTGCATTGTAAGTTTCCCTCCTCCAGTTCTGGAATCCTTGAGCTAACGAGTTTAGTGTGGCCTTGGATTGTACGCATCAGGCAAAGCATTGCACGATAATCCCAGCAGTGCCAGTTTCTCGTGTGCAAATAATGCATGAGCATTTTGCCTTGTTCGTTGTTCATATTGGACATTTTAACATATCGTGTATATTATGAATTTCTCGCCATAATTTAGGCTTTAAAAGCGTCCATTAATCAATTTATTTAAATCATCACAGAAACCTATACAGAAACTCCAAGCTCTGGAGATTGAGCGAGTCTGGCTGCGAACTCATCCCTAGGACATCTGTATAATCATCTGTAAAGTTAAATAGTCCGTACCAGTCATTCGGTGCCATAAGGTCCGGACTAGGGTCCTGCCATTGCTGCGAGTTATCTGCAGCAATCGCGCCCGTAGCATCATTCGTCTCGATACTACCATTCGACAAGTTAGCAGCCCCATGACTCCGCCCCATCCCCATCTCCGAAACCAACGTATCCCCACTCCTCAAACAATGCGCCGTACTCTCATCCAAACACCGAAAAAACAAATCCAGCACCCAATTCTCCAAATCCCAACTCTTCTGCAACTCCTGCAACCCCAACAGACACAATCTCGCGCGATGTTCCGCCAGTTTCCTTGTCGTCCCTGTTGTGCGGCAGCAGTTTATCGTGTGGATGCAGAGTGTTGAGAAGGCGTGTGTGATTAGGTGGTTTGGGCCGTGCTGGACGAGGTTGTGCGAGAGCATGTCTTCGATTATGCGGGTGCTGCGGGTTGCGGCTTCGAGGGCGATGGTGCCTTGGGTTTCGGTTGTGGTGGTTGTGGTGGTGGTGGTGGGGTGGAGGAAGAGGGGGCGGTAGAGGAGGATGTAGAGGTTGCTGTGCCATGTTAGTTCTGGTCTTTGATGGCTGGCATAGGACGAGGGTAGGCATACTTGTATGTCATGTGCAGTAGTCCGGTTAGGAAGATGGCGCTTGGGGTGGACTGGCTTTCTAGTTTCATTTCTGCTGGGAGATGGGATTCCCATTCTGTGAGTTGGGAATGTAGTGTTTCGCGGGATATCCCGTGTGCAGTGGGCTGTCTTGGTAGATATTGTGTCGAGACGATTGCGCGTACTATACCATTGTCAGCTGGTCGTCTTTTATCTCCACAGGAAAACGTACATAACCGCGCCAGCTTTGCCATCTCAATTGGGTATGGAATGTGTTCTGCATGCTGTACCCCAAAGACCTCTTGATCCTCAACTCTCTCCTCATCTTGTATATCCTTCGGCTCGAGCATGGCAATGTCGCAATCTTCATCACGGATTCTCGCGGGTAACCCTAACGCTGCGGAGCTTTGTTGGTCACGTATCTATTCCTTCGTTAGCAAGCATAAGGGTACAAAGGTGTATGGCATACATAATAAGCCCACCATATCCTCTTCCAAAGCATCTCCTCTCTACCCGACTGAAACGACAATTTCGACCTACACAGTCAGCGTCTTCGCCTTCTCCAATCCGGTAGTAAAGACATACATAACATGCATCCCTCTCTTCTGCGCAAGACAAATCCCGACCTCCAACCAAAACCTCGTATCCCTTTCTTCATTCGGCCCACCCCTCCAAAAGCTCAACAGAAACAGCGCCTGCAACTTGGTAATCTTATTCGACTCCCAGTCCGCGTCGTAGATAGCCCTAGCCCGACTATGAAACAGGACCTTGGCGCGGTAGCGCGTTTGAAAGCCTGTTTTCGCGAAAGTGGTATCTGGACAAAGACTTACTCCGATGAAGAGCATTGCTTGCAGGAGCAGGGGCGATATAGTTTCGTTCTTGTACGTGTCATGAATGACTTTGCGGTCGAGCATTGGGAAGCACGGGTGGAACCAGGTAAAGTATGCCTGGAGGAGAGACTCGCGGATTTCCTTTGAGGGGAATGAAAAGGCGCCGTTGCGGGTTAGCTGTTCTTTCATGGTGCTCTTGTGTGCGCGGAGAGTTTCCTCACGGGTGATGTTTGCGTCTAGTCTTTCTGGGATCGGGTAGTGGAGTCTTGCTTTTGACATCTCGTTTGCGTAGCCTTTATCTGGAGATCTGGTGCGTCCTTCGTCGATGACACAGGTGAGAGGGCTGGATTCTCCTAGGAAGACGGTTTGCTGGGTGTGTGCTAGTGATGGCTTGAGGGCGATCCTTTCGGCATGGTTTATCTGCGCGTGACTCTCCGACGCTGGGGTTCTCCATGAATACGCAGGCGAAGCAGAAACAGGCGTCGAAATCTGAGGTTGGACATGTTCCTGCTGCTGCTGTGGAGTCCCTCGACGTATCTTATTCCGCGGATACCTGCGAATGTTGGCACTTGATCTACACCAGTGCAAGAAGAACACATCTAGGCTACTTACTTCCCCCGTCGCGAAACCCCAATCTCACAATGCGTATTCAACGCCACGCAGTTAGCGCATGGTTGCTGGTCCATTACATTGCAGCGGATCCGGCGTCCGTTACAGGTGGTGCACGCTTTTTTGGCCCGAGTTGGTGGCATTTTATCAACAAAAAAAAAAAAAAAAAAAGAGTGTGTGTGTGAGTGAAGAAACCGTGCAAAAAGGCGACCTAGTCGGCTACTTCGGTTATTTGATGTTCGTTGTGGGATATTATTGGTTGACGGGTTCTTCGGTTTTATGCTGTCGGCTTCTTACATTGGAGTAACCGCACTACATATGGGGCTCTATGTGCACTAGTCAGTCTCATCAATCCCCAATTCAGCTAGAATGGCCTCATTATGTTCTCCAACATCCGGCACTGCTCCGATCCGCGCATTCAATCCATCCGCATCCGCTCTCATTCCCGGTGGCAACAAAGTAGGAACAACACCCGCTGGGGTCTTCACCTCCGTCCAGCGCTGTCTCGCTTGTAGCTGCGGGTGATTCCAGACTCCTTGCATATCATTAACGCTCGCGTTGGCGATAGCCGCTTCGTCTAGCAAGACAAGGACGTCTTTTGCCGTCTGCGATGCAAACACCTCGCAGATAATGGCCTTCAGCTCATCACGATTCTGCACCCGTAGAGAGTTACTAGCGAAACGCTCATCTTTTGCGAGTTCAGGCTGTCCCAGAACCTTATCGCAGAAACTCGCCCACTCGCGCTCATTCTGAATTCCCAGCATAACAATCTTCCCATCTCCCGTGTCAAACGGTCCATACGGGTAGATAGCAGCATGCGCAGCACCCGCAGGAGTCGGGCCCGGTGCACCCTCATACGTATAGTACAGCGGGAACCCCATCCACTCCACCATACTCTCCAACATTGAGATGTCGAGGTTACAGCCACGCTTCTCGGAATCGCGTTCACGATGGAACAGCGCAGCCAGGATATTCGAGTAGGCGTAGCTACCTGCTGCGATATCTGCGATCGAGATGCCCACTTTTGTAGGTTGTTTGGACCCTGTGCCTGTGACGGAGAGCATCCCCGCTTCGCTTTGGATCAGGAGATCGTAGGCTTTCTTGTCGCGGTAGGGACCATCAGGGCCGTAGCCGGAGATGTTGCACACGATCAATGATGGGTGGTTGATTTTCAGGGCCTCGTAAGACAAGCCTAGACGGCCGCTTGCGCCGGGAGCTAGGTTCTGGACTAGGACATCGGCGCGGCCCAGTAGGCGCATCAATACGCGATGGTCGCGCGGGTTCTTGACGTCCAGGGCCAAGCTTTCCTTTGATCGGTTTGTCCAGACGAAATGCGAGGCGAGGCCATTGACGCGGGTGTCGTAGTGGCGTGCAAAATCGCCTACTCCAGGACGTTCAACTTTGATAACTCGTGCCCCGAGGTCTGCGAGTTGACGGGTGCAGAACGGCGCTGAGATTGCTTGTTCCAGGCTGACAACGGTGATGCCAGCTAGTGGGCCGTCCGTTGTTTTCGTTGATAAATATCGGGTACCCCAGCGAGGGCATGATTGCGTAGAGCGCCGTAATATATTCATTTTCATGATCAGTGTAGAAGCACCGCAAGTGTGAATTGATCGGTTCCTTGATTGATATAGTGGGGCATATCGGCTATACGGTTATATGCACCTACCGGTTTCTGTATTGAAATACCACGACGAGCCTCTTCAACATCTTCAAACATCACCATGTTTCGCCATATTTCCAGACAAGTCTCACGCAGAAAGCATGTTGCAAGCATTCGCGCACCATGGCGCGCCTTTTCATCAACCACCCGTCGACCATTGATGGAACTTACCGGGTTCACAGACGAACAATTGACCGTCCGCGACGCCGTATCAAACATATGCGCCAACTTCCCCAATACATATTGGCAAGAGTGCGATCAGAATGAAAAAGACCCCAAAGAGTTCCATGCAGCATTAGCCAAGGACGGATGGCTAGGCATCGCGCTACCAGAGGAGTTTGGCGGGGCTGGATTAGGTATTCCAACAAGACAAAGGGAGAAAAGAAGAGGAAGGCTAATAATATAGGTATTTCTGAGGCTACGATGATGATGCAGACCATCACGCAGTCTGGGGCAGGTATGGCCGGGGCACAGGCCATCCACGCCAATGTCTACGCGACACAGCCCCTTGCCAAGTTCGGTACGCGGCAGCAAAAGGAGGAAACTATTCCAAAGATCATCAACGGCACGTGGCGGACATGTTTCGGCGTGACGGAGCCTAATACGGGACTGGAGACTTTGAAACTCAAGACGTTGGCCACGCGGAAGCCCGATACAGAGGTCTACTCGGTGACTGGTCAGAAGATATGGATCACCTGTGCACAAGTGGCGTCCAAGATGATTCTGCTTGCGCGAACGACGCCTCTAGAAGAGGTCAAGAAGCCGACAGAAGGTTTGTCTTTGTTTTGCATCGACTTGGACCGCGACCACCCGGGTCTTGACCTACGCAAGATCAAGAAAATGGGTGGGCGCGCGGTGGATGCAAACGAAGTGTTCTTCGACAACTACGAAATTCCGACGAGTACTCTTATTGGTCAGGAGAACGAAGGATTCCGTATCATCCTACATGGCATGAATGCCGAGCGATGTCTCTTGGCAGGAGAAGCTTTAGGGCTAGGGTATGCCGCGCTGGAACGCGCTGCCCAGTACGCACAAGAACGAGTAGTGTTTGGACGGGCAATCGGGCAAAATCAAGGAATTGCGCATCCACTAGCCGATGCGTACATGAAGCTTGAAGCGGCCAAGTTGGCCACCTACCATGCAGCACGGATGTTCGACTCCTCGAGGGCCCCGGATAATATGATCCCGGTACACACCCTCGGAGTAGCATGCAACAGCGCCAAGTACTTAGCGGCAGAAGCGGCGTTCACGGCGTGTGAGCGAGCAGTCCTGAGTCATGGAGGAATGGGGTACGCGATGGAATATGATGTCGAACGGTACCTGCGCGAGTGTTTTGTTCCACGGATTGCGCCGGTCAGTCGGGAAATGATTCTGAATTATGTGAGTGAGAAGATATTGCAGTTACCGCGAAGTTATTAGCAATAGCCAATCTCTAGGAAATTTCGATTTGGTAATCCGTGTATTTTCCGTGGATCAGTCCCTGCACTATTGAGAAGAAGCAATAATTGCAGTGGTTTCGTATACAAGCTTTTCGTCTTATTGGTTTCTTGTGTCGCTTAGTTCAGGGCCCAAGCAAATTAGTATTGGACCGGAGTTCTGGGCATACTCTTACTCCGTGCCAGTACCATATGTCAGCGTATGACAAAAGAAATTGGTTCACACAGAAGCCTTCCCCGGGAAAATGCCACGATATGACCGAAGGCGCATGGACGTCATGAGCACTGTCCGTATGGGGTTACTCTTCATGCCTTAGTGCATCTCTCCATCTTCGGCTAACTTGTCGACTTGGCCGGGCGGCATCCCTTGACGTCCCATCATGAAGAAATATCCGGGGAAGAATAGCCGCATCTGGACAATGTCTGAAATCTCATGCTCCTAGCTAGTGGGTAACCTGCACTCCATTCTCTGGGGAAAACTGCCCTGTGGAAAAATCTGACTCCGATGGGTCCAGTATAGAACTCTAGAACTCCGTACAAGACTAGGCATCCATCGGAATCGCCGCATGGATTCTCCTCGTTAATCTTACCAACCCGAACCCGTCTAGGCGCTTTCTCTTGCCTATACGGTGTCGGGAAGAGCCGGTCAAACGGCGTACAGGAAGCAAAGGTATGGTTTCGCCGCCCGGGCGTCGGCAAAAAAGACTGTTATCCCGGCCATGCTTGGCCGAAGTGAAACCCTGCGTGTGCGAGAGGAGGACGCTGGGAGCATGGCCGAAGTGGCCGACGTAGTCATGAAATAGTAGTAGTGTCGAGAATCTAGTACCATGGGGAAGTGGTGGTTTCCGCCAAGACCAGGGCTGCCAGCGGAAAGGGATCCCCGCGGCGGGGAGTCGGCGGAGCTGGAGAGACCTTACTACTAGGGATGCAGTATATAGCATAACTAGTCCACAGTATACCTGTATACTCAGTTGGGAACATCCAACATCTACAAGAAAGAGTAGACGGGAAATAACAAAATGGAGAAATGAAACGTAAAGAAAAACTGCAGGAATACATACAAAAATAGTACTATAGAATGCCGGCGCATCTCCGTCTAATTATTCTTCGGCTCTCCTGCGGTCCGAATGCTTTGTTGATTGGCATTCAAACGGCTCTTGGTAGGTTCATTAAGTAGGTGGTGGATGGGTGGTGAGGACGGACAGTGAATTGTAGTCATTGTGGGGACCTGTCATTAAAGAAAGAGATATCTTAAGCGAGGCACCTGACCTGGGGTCGTGGTTCTTTTATTTCTTTTCCTCCCCTCTTCCTCTACTCTTCTCTTTTTCCCTTTCATATCTTCTCCATCTCTCTCTCTCTCTCTCTCTTCCACTTCATCGTATTCTTTCTTTGTTGTCTCTCGTTTATCTCAAAGAGGAATCAATATCATCAAACTGGAGAGATCTATTCCTGCTGTTTCTTCCAACGCGACGGCCTACTCAACATGTCGGTCCCGTCGTACGCCGGCCTCTCTGGCCCCTGGCTGATGAGGGCCATCACGGCTTGTGCTACCATGGGGTTCTTGCTTTTCGGTTATGATCGTATGTCCTGCTTTACCAGATGCTCCAAGAGTCGAGCTAATACAGAGAAGAGGGTGTCATGAGCGGAATTATTGATGCGAGACCGTTTGGCGAAGTTTTCACGCAAGTTCAAGGCGATTCGACTATTCAGGGTGTCGTCACGGCTATTTACGAATTGGGTGGGTGACAAAATACAATATGGTTGTTGAATCTGGGCTGACGCGTGGTGCAGGATGTCTCGTTGGTGCTCTGTTCATCCTCGGTGCTGGTGACTGGCTGGGTCGTCGTTATTCCATCATAATTGGCGCTGCGATCATGATTATCGGTGTTGTTCTTCAGGTCTCTTCCGTTAAAGGCCAGGTTCCCATCGCTCAGTTCTGTGTTGGACGTGTCGTGACGGGCATTGGCAACGGCATGAATACCTCCACCATCCCGACCTATCAAGCTGAATGCTCCAAGTCACACAACCGTGGTCTGCTCATCTGTATTGAGGGAAGCACCGTCGCTATTGGCACGGTCATCTCCTACTGGGTTGATTTTGGTTGCATGTACGGCTCGGATGATCTCACCTGGCGTTTCCCCATTGCCTTCCAATGTCTCTTCGGCTTTATCATCATCTTTGGTCTCATGTTCTTGCCGGAATCTCCCCGGTGGCTCTTCGCTCGTGATCGCTACGAAGAGGGTGAATATGTGATTGCCGCATTGGTCGGTCAGGAAATCAACCACCACGACGTCCAGATGCAAAAGACTCTTATCTTGGACTCTCTGCGAGTGTAAGCTTTTTTCTTCTTTGTTTATTTGTTGGATTTGGTTGCTCTTTGGGCGCTTTTTTTTTTTTTTTTTTTTTTTTTTTTTTTTTTTTTTTTTTTTTTGTTGTTGTTGTTGTTGTTGTGTTCTGTGCAAACGCTAATCGATCGTGTGCTTTTAGTTCTGGTCAGACCACTGGCAAGTCCACTCCCATGTCTGCTGTATTCACTGGAGGCAAGACTCAGCATTTCCGCCGCATGCTTCTCGGTTCTTCCACCCAGTTCTTCCAGCAGATTGGTGGCTGCAATGCTGTCATCTATTACCTTCCTGTCCTGTTCGAACAGTCCGTCGGCCAGAGCCACCTCATGTCCATGATTCTGGGTGGTGTCAATATGATTGTCTACGCTATCTTTGCCTGTAGTTCCTGGTACCTGGTGGAACGTGTTGGTCGCCGCAATCTGTTCCTGATCGGTTCGATCGGCCAGTGTCTGTCCATGGTTATTACCTTTGCCTGTTTGATTCCAGGAGACCCTGAGCCTGCCAAGGGTGCTGCCTTTGGTTTGTTCGCCTTCATCGCCACTTTTGGAGCGACCTGGTTGCCTCTGCCCTGGTTGTACCCGGCTGAGATCTCCCCTATCAAGACCCGTGCGAAGGCCAATGCCCTGTCCACCTGCACCAACTGGACCTTCAACTTCTTGATTGTCATGGTCACCCCCATCATGGTCCGCGACATTAAGTGGGGCACCTACCTTTTCTTCGCTGTTCTCAACGGCCTGTTCGTTCCAATCATCTGGTTCTTCTACCCCGAAACGGCTGGTCGCTCTCTGGAAGAGATTGACCTTATCTTCGCCAAGGGCTTCGTCGAGGGCATTTCATACGTCCGCGCTGCCGAGGAGCTCCCCAGACTGTCGGACGAAGAAATCGAACGCGTCGCTGCTCAGTACGGTCTCGGTGTGGATGTGGAGGCACCTGCTAAAGGCACCTCTGAGTCTGCCTCGCAGGAGGAGCAGGTCGAGAAGACCGGCTAAGCCTCGCACTACTCTGTCACGGCGTCGTGGTCATGATTTTCTCTTTTTATTTGTCACCCTTTCATATGTAATGTTGAATACCCATGAGTTACGGGGAAAAGACTGGATTTGTTGATCAACCGGTGGAATCTCTGGTCATGTAACTTACAGATACTGCAAGGTCGCGGTGCGATAGATCTTTGTTCATATATTGGACGGATGTGCCGCAGGCCATAATTTATTTATTTGATTTAATATTCAGTGTCTGTAGACTGTTTCTTGCGATACTTTAGACCTCCATTCGACGAGACCACTTGACTTCTGGTCCGGCGAAGGAGTAAGTCGCGTGATGCAGTCGATAATAATTTCTCTCAAGTAATTTGCATTCGTTCTCCAGCGTATGCTGTAATATGAATCGAGAGCCTGTCAGCAATATCATGTGATTTGACATCTCTGTTTTGGCCTGCAGCTGGCAGCTTAATCCTCCAACGCCCTCATCCACCGACAATCAAGCTTCAACTTTCCCACGAATGAGGAGTGAGTCGCTACTTATTTCTTATATGATCCTGTATTTCTGAATGCATCAGACTTTTTTATTAGCTAACCAGGCGATTGACTGTGTTAATCTCAGCTCAAGGATTCGACCATATGCTCGATCGTCCCGTTCCGGTTCCTGTCCCAACCCACCCCAGCCTCTTCGAATGAACGCAACAAGGACACTATAAGCATACTCTCGCTGGAAGCAAGGTTATCATGTGTGAGACTGGGGTTATGCTCTTGATGGAAAGGAATGACTAGCAGGCATGTACTCTGCAAGTCATCCAACCGGTGGAAGTTCGAGCTTGGGACCGGCCAGGTGTCAATTGACGTTCTCCAGTCCGACTAATTCCATGGCTGTCATGTATGCACTTCTCTATACCATGGACAGCTCTCGTTTTTATCGCGTCTGCGCTGACACGATCCTTCTTGCTGTCTAGAAGAACGGTGTGGAAACACATTCGCTGTTGCGACCACCGCGATAACTCCACGGCATTTCAAGATGCAGATGCACGGAATATGCTTATCTTCTTTTGCTGCACGGGATATTTTTATTTGAACGTTAGACACAGATAGGGCAACCGTTCGCACGCTCCACGCCATGATCCACCAAGTCAACGCTTCCGCAGCTCCGATCGAAATTCGTCGGAATCCCAGCCAAGATAAAAATACCTTATATCTTCTCGGTCAGCGGTCGCAAGAAACACCTGGCAATTCGATTGTTGAAATAAAGAAACAATGGAAAAGAGGTGCATTGTTCAGCTCTGGCCAACGCTTATTGACCCGTTCACACAGCGACAGAAAACTGCGCGGCTTGATTCAATATATCTGGCCAGGTCATGCTGGATTATCCATGCAATTGAACCAGTTACGATAGATTAATTATGACCACGTATCAGCGTGCATCGGCTGCGCTGTCGGATACGCAGGCACAGATAATCAACTCGAATAAGCCGAGTCGACCTCCCGGCAGCCCCCATGACTCTCTCGTATAGCGACTTTAGCTTTTCTTAAAATCCAAATCACCCATTGATCCTTGAATCCAGCCATTGAAACACCGTCCGGGTATTCGCGAGATGCCGAGACTGGATCCCGATATGGGGGGATTTCTACCCCCGATCTGCAGAATGCGGGGTCTCCATAGGCGGGCTCTACAGGGTCTGCTCGATAGTTAATTCTTGTCCTATGATGTGTCAATAGGGGCTAAATGTGGGTATGGAGGTGGGTATGGAGGTGAAGAAGTTATATAAAGGCTGTATCCGTGGGTGTACAATTTCTCGACAATTGTTCTTCCAATTCTCAACCCATCATCATGGACACCACCGTATGCAATTACCCCTCATCCATACTGACACGAGCTCATTACTGACTACCATGCCTATAGACCTTTCGCAATGTCATCAACAATGAGTTGACCACAACAGCTGAAACCCGCCACGGGATCAACCCTGCGACCGCTCAACCCAATCCCCCCGTGCCCGTCGCAACCCGCGAAGACCTAGACCGTGCTGTCGACGCCGCCCAGCAGGCCTTCAAGAAATGGTCCAAGACTACATTCGAGCAGCGCCGTGCAGCTCTCCATGCCTATGCGGACGCCATTGAGGAGAACAAGGATACCTTGGCCACTATCCTGACCATGGAGCAGGGCAAGCCCCTCACCCAGTCGGCCATGGAGATTGGTTTTGGTATCCAGTGGGTGCGGGGAATCCCGAACATTGAAATCCCTGAGAACGTCATTGAGGATACGGAGGAGCGACGAGTTGTCCAGCGACACACACCCATTGGCGTGGCTTGTGCCATTGTGCCCTGGAACTTCCCCGTGTTGCTGGCATTGGGCAAGATCGCGCCCGCTGTGTATACCGGAAACACCGTTATTGTCAAGCCTTCGCCGTTCACACCTTACTGTGACTTGAAGCTGGCAGAGCTGGCTACCAAGTTCTTCCCTCCTGGTGTTGTTCAGGCTTTGAGTGGTGATGACTCCCTTGGGCCATGGTGTACTGAGCACCCTGGCATTGGCAAGATCAGCTTCACTGGATCGTCCCAGACAGGACAGCGAGTCATGGCAAGCTGCGCAAAGACCATCAAGCGGGTGACCCTGGAACTGGGCGGCAACGACCCGTGTATCGTCTGCGATGATGTCGACGTGGACACTGTGGTGCCAAAGGTACACTCCTCTCCCAGTTTTTCGATAAGCACATACTAACCTTTGTAGGTCGGCATCTTCTCCTTCCTCTGCACTAGCCAAATCTACATGATGATCAAGCGCCTCTACGTCCACGAACGTATCTACGACGAATTCCGCACCAAGCTCGCCGAGTTCGTCAAGTCCCTCCCCGTCGGCGACGGCACCAAGCCCGAGACCTTCTTCGGCCCCGTCCAAAACGCCATGCAATTCGACAAGGTCAAGGAACTCTTCGCCGACACCGCCAAATCAGGCTACAAGACGGCTCTGGGTGGCGATATCCCTGACTCCTCTGCCTCTCCGGGGTACTTCGTCCAGCCGACGATTGTCGACAACCCGCCCGAGGACTCGCGGGTCGTGCAGGAGGAGCCCTTCGGTCCTATCCTGCCTATGATGAAGTGGTCGGATGAGGACGACGTGATCGCGCGCGCAAACGGTACTAACTCAGCTCTCGGTGCGTCCGTCTGGACCAAGGATATGGATCGGGCTACCCGTATGGCGGACCAATTGGTTGCGGGAAGTGTGTGGGTGAACTCGCACTTTGACATCTCGCCCAATGCGCCGTTTGGTGGACACAAGGGAAGTGGTCTGGGGACGGAGTGGGGTATTAATGGGTTGCTTGGGTACTGCAACTCGCAGACTTTGTGGTTGAAGAGGAGTCCTTGATTTCTTGTAAGCTGTGTTACGATGTTGCTATGACTTATGTATATAGCTGTTGGTTGGCATTGAATATATACCACGATAGCGGAATTGATATTTCCCCATAACCCTTCGCAAACAACCCATGTAGTAACATATTTATTATCCAAATACAGCTATAAAACACAAGAATATCAAACCATACTTAGAATAGCGTAGAAATAACCATCAAACATTACAGAGGCCTATCTCCAGTGACTGCTTAAGTATGTATGCTTATGGGGCAAAGAAAGTTTAAGTGTTACATCAAGAAGGTGCTGTGGTCTAGTGGTATGACGTCGCGTTGTGGCCGCGCCAGCCCCGGTTCGATTCCGGGCAGCGCCATTATTTTTTGTTTTTATTTTTTGCTCCTCATTTTTGCGAATGAAAAATGCAGCCTTGTATCCCACAGAACTAACAGCCATACACAATGGCCCATATCTGGTCCGTGTAAACAAGCTTCCCCACGCTAACCCAACACGGCAACCGGCAGAAACCGGGCTTCGAGACACACAATCCCGCACCGGGCGAGATGTGATTATGACCAACAGTCAAAACCGACGGCGCTCTTTCTTGCAGCAGCGCTGATAATTCCGGCCAATTGATCGATATGATCGATAGCAGAGGCTGCAGGTCCACGTACGCACATTATTAATGGCGAAATGGCCTTATCTTCAACGCTTTTCTCCGCGGACCGCACCTCCATTTTTGGATTGCTGGCTGGTGATATAAAGATTCAAGATAGCCATTATCTGACTCGGTTCTACACAGGATAGACAAGCAAAATGGCGGAGAAAGAGTGTCGCGATGATGGCCAGAAAACCACGGTCGTCGTCGGTGCTGATGTTGAGAATCCTCCCACGCGCTACCAGCCTACCAGATGGCAGAGTAATATCACCATTGCGAGCTGTGTACGTCCCATGCTCCCCTTCAATAAGAACAACACAAACTGATAGAGACAGTACATCGCCAACTTCAGCGACGGCTACCAAAATGGCCTCGCCAATCCCACCAATGTGATCTTCAAGCACCTGCTCGGCACCGACTTCACCTCCGAGATGAAGACGCGCATCAGCAACTCACTGCTCATCGGCGCGATAATCGGTATCATCGTACTGGGTTATGCATCAGACATGTTCTCGCGACGGGCAGGGCTACTATCCACATCGTCGATTGTAGCTATCGGGACGTTAATGGCAACAGTCGCACTGTCCGTACACCCGACAATGAACATGCTATGGTATTTCATCGTCGTCCGCGGTATCGCAGGTTTCGGCGTCGGCGGCGAATACCCCCCTAGCGCAGCAGCAGGAATCGAAGAAACAGATGAATTCATGCGCCGATACCGCGGGCCCATGTTCGTCTCCTTCACGACACTAATGGCCACTCTCGCCAGTCCCATTCTCATGATCATATACCTGATTACGCTAGTCGCAAGTAACAATAACCTAACCATCGCCTTTCACGCCATCTACTCAATCGCCACTATCCTCCCTGTGATCATCATCGTCATGCGAATCTTCATGGCTGACTCGACGCTATTCCATTACTCGAATTTCAAAAATCAGCGTAAATCCCCACGTCTTATTCTCCTCTTGCTGCGGCGGTACTGGTGGCGCATCACGACTACATCGCTAGCATTCTTCCTCTACGACTTCATCAACTTCCCCAATAGCATCATGTCAAGCACCATCATCTCCTCCCTAGTCAAGGATAACAACGTCCGCACAACAGCAATCTGGCAGGTAATCCTCGCCGTCCTCCCAGTGCCTGGCGTACTGGTAGGCGCCTGGCTAACGAACCTCATCGGCCGCCGCTGGACCGGTATCGCTGGTTTTGCGGGGTACGTCGTCCTGGGCTTCGTGATAGGCGGTACATACACCAAACTGTCGCAACACATTGCTGCCTTTGTCGTCTTGTACGGGTTACTGCAGGCATTCGGCCACATGGGCCCCGGCGCAACAATCGGCCTTATCTGCTCCGAGTCATTTCCGACTGCAATGCGAGGCATGGGCTACGGTATTGCAGAAGCATTTGGTCGTGCCGGGGCTGCGGTTGGAACGCAGTGTTTCACACCATTGCAGGACTGGGCGGGTGATAGCGCGACGTTTTATCTTGCTGGTGCGGTGGCTGTTGTTGGGATGTGTGTTTATTGGCTTTTGCCGGAGAGTGGGGGGTTGGATTTGGAGGAGGAGGATAAGGTGTTGAGGGTTTGGTTGGAGGAGAGGGGGTTTACGAGTGATGGGGTAGCTAGATAGGGGTTAATAGAGGTGTAAATAAGCGTGGTAGAATTAACCTGATTGGTTCAGAAAGATTAACTGGAATATACCCTGTAGGGTACGATCGAGATCACTATTGGATAAGAAGACCTGTCTGTAACATTGTATTATGGTTTATTCTAACTCATATTCCATCTTCAACACCTCCGCACAAGTACTCCCCGTGACATACGCCGTCGCCTGCGTATGATTATTCGTCATCACTGGCACCACACTCATATCCGCAACCCGCAGATTCTCAATCCCAAACACCCGGAACCGGCTATCCACGGCCGCTTCCTTACCCCCTTCATCCGGTCTCCCCATCTTAACAGTCCCGGTCATGTGTCAGACAGAAAAGAGGTTGGCTCTCCAGTACTCGAGGAGATCCTCGTCTGAATCCGACGGAGGTGCCATGAGCGTGGAGACGGTATCCTTTTGGAAGGCTGGATGCTTGCAGATGTCGAGGAGGTGTCGAAGAATCGCGATACATGTGGCGCGGTCATAGGGGTGAGATAGGAACTTGGGGTCAAAGAGAAGAGGCTCTTCGGGGTTGGAGGATTGCAGTCGGACCTCGCCGCGGGATTGCGGGTTCATTAGAAACGCTGTCACGCAGGTGTAGCTGTAATCCTTCACTGCTTCGGGCATGAATATGTGTAGCGGGAAGTTTGGGACGATCTCATAGTGTGGGATGGTAGGACGGTGGAGGAACTCTTGCACAGAAGCTGGGAGGGCTTTAAATTCTGGCATGTTTGGGACGATGTCTGATTTGAACCAGCCAATTCCCAGCTGGCATGAGTGGCGTGCCCATGGCCCCTTCCCACTTTCCTTCCATTCGCCCATGGCGTTTTCCATAGCAGAGGGGTCTTTGAAGAAGGTGTTGCGGTCATTGGTGTTTGGGTTGCGTTGGTAGGTTAGTGAGGCACAGAGATGGTCTCGCAGTCCTTGGCCAACGGCAGGGAGGTGCTGTATGACTGGGATTTGGAACTTTTGAAGTTGTTCAGCTGGTCCAATGCCCGAGTGCATCAAAACTTTTGGGGTGTCCAGCGTGCCGGCGGAGAGGATGACTTCCTTTGATGCCATGACTAGAGACGTTAACTTTATCTATGCCAATCACAGGGTAGGACGTTACATTTTCTTCCCAAAGACTCCACGCCAACAGCTTTCTTGCCCTGCAGCAGCACTCTTTGCACCGGAGAGTCAGTTAAAATCGTCAAGTTATCAGGCGCGTCCTCCAGCAGGTCTGTTGCCATCACTCTCACTCCCCGATGAGCAGTGTTAATAGCCAGTGTCAACCCAATTGGATTCCCAGAATTATGATCTGTACCATGGGGCAAACCGGCTTGCGTAAAAGCATCTATCAGCAGCGGCAAATCCTTCTCCCATTCCGGCGCATATCCCACATGCAAAGCGCCACTGCTCCCATGATCTTCTGCCCGGGGTGATGCATATTTCGTATGCGCAGGATCAGATATAGCCCCACTGAACGTCTCCAAATTCTTAAAACGTGCCTGGATACGGTTCCATTTAAAGATATCGTCATTTACGACATTTGCCCACTGGTTGTAATCATCACGAGCGCCAAAGGCGTAAATGCAAAAATTGATAGCAGTGCTTCCTCCCAGTGTCTTGCCGCGAGAGTAGTCAATTTGACGTCCATTGCAGTGCTTTTGAGGCACTGTTGTATAGGCCCAATTGATGGCTGCGTTTCGGTAGGTGCCCCACCGCTGACCGTCGACTCTGAGGAGTTTCTCGTCACGTCGCGATCCAGCCTCAACCAGGAGGACTTGGGGACGTTTGGGGGAGCGAGATAGGGAAGAAGCGATGCTACAGCCAGCCGGACCGCCTGTCAGTGTTAATTACCAGCCATGAAAGGGAATTGGAATCGAGAGAGAATTGAAAGACTAACCTCCGACGACAATGAATTCCCATAGACCTGATGCCATGACTTCTGTAATCTAGACCACGACGCCAAACTCGTGCAGACAGAAACTGGCATAGGAAGAGCCCGGGAGACCACACAATTTTACGATTTTTTTTTTGTGTGGCCATGTCATCAGGATCCAACGGATTCTCGGAGACAGAAGACATGACGTTAGTACTCCGTATGTATGATGATGGTAGTATATGGATACATCACAGAGAAGAATAACATCCTTGAGAATCTGTTATCAATGTTATCTGCAGTTTGGAATGGAAAGTGAAAGCAGATGGTTGATTGAGAGGGAGAAGCCTGGGAGTTCTCTTGCTGTACGAAAGGGGAAGGTGGTCAGTTAACCGCTGACACACCACATATCCATGTTAACTAGATGCTTACCTTATCAGTATGTACGGAGTGCAGATGATATACAAGCACTAATTGAAGCAGGAAAATAATTGAGTCTAACAATTGAGTCCTACAGTTGATGTAACTAACTAATGTAATTCACAAGCGAGCCGCCCACCCAATCCCTATGTTTAGTATTTAAATGCATTTATTTCAACCAAAACGCCATAATTATTAAAAAGCAAGCTATCTATATTTATTTGGACACGCATTTCTTTTATGTCCTATATCCCCACATCCACCACACTTCGGTAGCGCTCGTTGATGTGGCTGTAAAGCTGGTGAAGCACGTTCATGAGGGAGGGTCGTACAAGCTATTTGAACCTCAATTGGCTCTGATATTATAGTATGAGCCTCTTCAGCTAAAAAATCGCCTTCATGGGGTATATGCCTTGCTTCCAGCACGTGATAGGTATACACGTGACCAGACCGTCACACAATGACTGGTTGCTCCTGGTGTCTCAGAAGCTCACTGCAAACATGGATCACTTTGACAACCCCCAACTTCACATAGTGTACATTGCTAGCTGCTGTGAGGGCAAGGCCTGAAAGCACATCACTCCTTGTATGTGAGATGACGTTGCAAACCTGTATGTTGACTCAAAGGACATGCTCAACCACCTGAAGATGATATATGACGACCCAAACTGAGTCACAACAGCAAAGCATCAATTCTGACAGTTGTACATGAAGAGTGGCAACAAATTTCATGACTTCTTGTCTGAATTCCTGTACCTTGCTGCAGAAGCAGGTGTTGCAGAGGATACCTGGAAGGATGAACTTTGCATAAAACTGGCAACTAAACTCCAGGAGCTGTGTATCACTGAGAGCTACAAGACTGGACCCTTCCAAGACTTCTCTAATGCAGTGTCCCAGACTGCAAGTCGTCTTGAGGTCATCAACCATCAGAACCAGAAGAATTGATCTTTCAACTTCTCTTCATCCAGCAAGGATACCACTAAGGGAGCTGGTCAGGTGAATGTCAAAAAGGAACCAGCCCCTCCCCAAAGCGTCAGTTCAGTGGAACCCCATAATGGATCCAATCATGAACGACTGATGAAGGAAGGGAAATGCTTCCACTGCCAGGGACATGGTCATTTGGCTTGAGAGTGCCCTACCAAGGCCGCGACCTCTGAATTGAAGGAGCTTGAACAGAAAGCGTCTGAGAATGAACTGGACAACAATGCAGGAAAAGTCTAGCCCAAGAGAAAGTCTCTGACCTGGGGCTAGATGGTGTCAACCTAGGCAAGTTGGATTTTAGTCAACTGATTGGAGGACGAGGATTCAATGTGAATAGAGACCACGCCTAATCAACAGTGCGTTCTGGACGGAGTTGATTTTTGATACTCCTGTGGTTTCGTTCATATTGGTGATCCAGCTCGAGTATCCGAATTCGTTCCAAAGATTCTCGCACTCCAGAGGGAATACATGCGCCGCCTCGAGTTTTGTCCACACTCCCAAGCTTGCGAGTAAGCCGCCTCCGCCGGAGATCATGCACTTTCTGTCTCGTCCACGAACGCCGTCCCGAAAAGCACTTTCGCGCCCCGAGGTACCAACGCTGTATGTGCGAAAGAATCAGAGTTCGTCGGTAATCTCGATAGCACCTAGATGAAAGGTTAGTGACAATGGTAGACTTACACAAGGAGGATCTTACCTCCTTTGATGATCTTATAATCCATCTCATAATCCCCTGGAAGGACTAAATCGTCGCTGGGCGTCACGATGTTTCCAGTACTTCCCTGCCTGATTGACATCGATAGTAACCAACAGGATACCGCGCAGCATATAATCGAAGTTCGCGTAAGTAATCGAACCCCACCTGATAGACACGATAGTTTGGGTTGCGGCATCATAGACATGCCCATCACGCCCCGAGTAGCGCGCTAACATATAGCCGTGCGACGTGTTGTATTGTTTATAGACAGAATAGTCAGACACGGCAGGCAGGAGGAACGACGACTGATGTTACAGACTAGTCCTTTGTCTGGATTGGAATAACAGCATTATGTACATCCTACTCATACTTATACACCTCTTCAAAGGCTATTGCTCGCTAAGCCAGGCTGGCCCTGGTGAATAAAGACATGCTACTTGCCACTGATCTTCCAGTCCTAGTGGAGCAGAATTCAAATCCAGTGGTCGATGCAGCCTCACGGTGAATTCATTCCTCTTTTGTGGATGGATGAAGCACAACAGATCATGGATAAGTAGCTGGCAGGACTTTGCCAACAACCCACTGAAGGATGAGACAGCGAGCCCAGGTCTTCACAAGCTCCCATCACTGCAGTTTCAGCATTAAGCGTTTGGAGTCTGGGGGATGGGGTCAGCCAGCGCTTGGGGCTGGCTATGGGCGCGTTGCGATCCTGAATGAAACTATACAACTTCTTGGGTGCCTCCCGGGTGAGTTAAAGGGTGATGCCGCTTTTCGGTCGCGCGACCAGGGGTGAGTTAGGGTGAGTGCGCTATAGATGAGGGTGAGCCATCACCCAACATCACCCAGCGCCGCGCAATCTCAATCCTTTGAAATCCTTCCAATCTTATGGCATGCTACAACGACTGATTATTGGCTATCCTTTTCCAATTTCAAAACACCGAGCTATCTTGGAATCTGCACATAGCCACAATCAAATCTAAACCCCGGCACCGCCCATCGCCCGCCCGTTTGAGCCCGTAGGGCCGCCCGTTTTGGCCCATTCTGTGCACAATTCTCGAGAGATCAGGTCGGCTGAGGTCAATATTTTGGTCAGTTGTGCCAAAGTGGGGCATTTAGCGTCTCGGCGGTCATGTGACTCACATCCCAGTGTGTAATTCTTTTTCAACCCAATTGACATCTTTCACAGTATTTACCAACCACTAATCCACTCGTTGGTCAATCAGCATCGCCATGGCGCCTGTCACTCGCTATTCGGCCAGAGACCGCACTCCAGGCACGACCCAACAACGGGACAACATCCTGATCAATGGCATCGCCAAACCGGCGGGAATTCGCAAACGACTGAAGCCAGATAAGCCAGATAAACAGAAGGCAGCCCTAGAAGAGAACCCTCCAGAGGATCTGGATGCAACTACGCCAACCTCACTGCTACCGGACATGGACATGGACCTGGAATCAATAGATCAACCACCATCAGCTCTCCCAGAGCCCCAGAACCCAGATGGGCAGCTGGACCATGAGCTGACAGGACACGTTAACACTATCCTGCAAGCCCGGGCTATGAAAGAGAAGGAAGAAGATGAAGATATACTAGAAATTCTAACTCTTTTGGACAAGAAAATCTCCTCCATGAAACAAAAAGAACAGCCTAGAGCCCTCTCCTTTGGCAAAGCTCTGCATACATTCATGCAGAGTTTTTTCACCCAATCAAAGGCCAAGATACATGATCAAGGCCCTACAGCCAACCCGGCCCCAGCTAGCCCCCCCCAAACGTACGCAGCCGCCATTGTGCCCAAATCAGACAGCAAGACTACAAAGAAGTCCTATACCACACCCCCGAAGCCAGAAAGGCCCCTCCGTCTCTTCCTCCGAATCCCAACTGATCACCCTGCCCGGCAGGCCAGCCCGTACGCAGTACTACAAAAGTATGCAACAACCTGGGCCCAATGGCCACCAACACCATAAAGGAGATCCAACATGTCCCCACAGGGCTTGCCATTGGGCCTAAAGACACCCAAAGCGGACAGATCCTGCTTGACAAAAAGGAGGAGATACAGCAAACAATCCAGGGCTCCAATGCCGAGTCAGAACAGAAATGGGCCATCTTTGTGATCCCAGGAGCTATCAAACAATATACTGGATATGATGGCTCTATAGTCAATGTGTCTGAACAAGCTGCAAAAGAGGAATTCAAACTGCAGACTGGATTCTCTCCACTAAAACTCCACTGGTCCAGAAAGAACCAGGAACACACCATGAAAGATACATCAACAATAATCCTTGCAGTGCCAGAGAATGCTGCTTCTGAAATTCCACTCTGGATTCACTTTTTCAGCAAGAACCTCCGTATCAGACACAAATTCATAAACCCCAGAATCCAGCAATGTGCACGCTGCTGGGATTTCCACAACCCAAGAACTTGCACCCGACAGCCCAAATGCCGGCTCTGCGGCGCTAAAGACCACACCGAGGAGAATCATGACCCCCAGTCACATGGCAGCACCCACCAGTGCGCCAACTGCTTCGGTCCCACCCCAGCAGACCATGCAAGCTGTCCAGTCCGGCCCAGTCTCAAGCAAGGGGCCATCATCCGGGTCCCCAAGACACAAGTTGCAGCCATCCGACGGACAGAACTAGGTCAAAGAGCAACAGACAACACCCAGGCCAACCAAGCAATCCCCAATTCCACACCCAACAACACGGACCCAGAAAGGGCCCCCAATCCTGCACCTACCCAATGAGATACGACAAGTCTATCCCACAACTGCGGATTCTCCAGGTCAATGTGGCCCGGAGCCCATCCCCTCATGAAGCAGCCCTCCAAATAGCCTTTGAACAAGATTACCATGCCATTCTTGTTCAAGAGCCATGGATCTCCAATATCCGCACACGCCGCCTCTCCAAGCATAGCCCAGCTTTCCAGCTTTTTACACCAACAGAAGACTGGACACACAGGCCACGCACCCTCATATATATCCGCAAACACCCACAACTCAAAGCAGAGCTCATAACACATGGCCCCCAACCCAACCGGGACTTGACAGCAGTCCAGGTAAGCTCAGGAAACCAACATGTGACCCTACTAAACCTGTATAACGCACCCCCTGGATCTATAGATGCTGGGGAGGGGCTGAGGCACCTACAAAGTCAACCTCTGCCCCCCAGATCCTGTTTGATTGCAGGGGATTTCAATCTTCACCACCACCTCTGGCAGAC